TTCTGCTTGGGATGACCTGGCAAACGTGTTCCCAGAAGAGCCCAGGTTCACTTTCATGACCTTTCTGCCTTCCCTCGGCTCTTTTATGGAGACACCTGACTCCATCGTACTTCTTATTGTTAAGGCAAGAACAAAAAAAGATAGAACTGGGTGATGACTGAAAATAGCTAACCCACTTGAGAGTGATAAAAGCATCTGCTGAAAATCTGGTAACCAGATCTCCTTGGTACCAGAAAAAAACACACACACACACAAAAACTGGTGGGTGGTGTACACGGTACAAAGAAAGGGAGTCCCTGAGTGTCAGCATCTGGCAAAGCCACGTGTAGCATAATCTGATTAGTTTTCAGTTCCACACCCACAAGCTGAAAGATAAAAACACACACCCCTCCTCCCCAAAGGAGGTTAAAATCTTTAAGCATCAACACCACATTTACATTCTGCAAGTCAGCCTCTTCCATGGCCCAATTTACATCTTGACTTCTCCAGAGGAAGAAGTTCAGTGATGAGGGGTGAGCTCACGTCCCTTTCCAGTTACCACATCCAGCACACTCAAGATTGCTTTGCTTTGATCTGAGAGACATTCCTTTGTTTAGTTTAAACTGAAGTGATTAAGCTGGAGATGAAGCCTTCTCACATCTCTTGCCATGCCTGGGATGTGATAATTGAATGTTCACTTCTATGGACCATTTTAACATGTTCTGAGGCTGTCCTGGGCTGGCTGAAGCAGCAGTACAGACACTGGCTGGATGGCTGCAATTTGCACTGACCTTACTGCACTTTCTCAGTACTGTTTTCTGGTTTGGTTCACGTAAAATGGCCAAAACTGGTACTAGAGTGGATTAATGGCAATGTTTTATGTCTCCAGAAACTAAGACTCTGGTTGGTGTTCGGCTTGAAATAGCTGAGTAGCAGTGAGAGACTAGAATGTTGCTTGTCATTTTACAGCAAATAATAGATTTCTAATATCTAACATATTTTGTACTATGACCACAGACAAATCAGAACAGCTTGTATAGCTTCTGTCTATTCATTCTTAATTTTTCTCTTTCCATCTCCTTGCCTGAGACCTGATCAATACCAGTGGCTGCTGGGTCCCATCCTTATTCAGTGACTCCTGGGACAGCCTCAATCTTTTTCACTACATTTCACATCCAAGACTTCCTATGTCTGTTACCATTTTGTCTCTTTCCAAGCCCAATTCATTCCACAAAGTCATCTTTGTAACAGAGCAGCCTGCACTAAATGAGTGTTGTAGGGATTGGGATACCTGCAACAGCATTTTATTCTGTTCTTTATGTAGCTTTTATATTGCATTTTAATGTACTCACTGCTGCAGCAGATCACAGATTCTCCCTGAGCTATCCACACTTGCTACCCTAATCTTTTTTCCTGAAATAAAATTACGCCTTGTGATGGAGACCAAGGATATAGCTTTTCTTAGTGCACTCCCCTGGGATCAGGAATTTCTCTGTCAACGGGTGCATATATCAATGAAAGATGAAAAGCAGCTTGTGGAATGAGTTTTAAACATGTATCACATATTTCATTGCTGCTGCTTATGTGCTACTCAGAAGGCGTTTTTAGAGAGTTTTCAGCCCATACCTCATGGCTGCTCTGTATTTAATAGGATTTTTTTGCTTTTTCTGCACAGGAATCAGGGCAAGAGATTTATTTAAGTTTCCCATGCTGTTTTGTGAGCACCTCCTGAATACGAAGGTTTTGTTGAGTTTCCTGCTTCCTTTCAATGTGAGAACGTCTTAGCTTATATGAAAGCATAGTAACCCATAACGTGCAAAGCTGTAATCTCATCTCACTGGGACATTTCACTGGGGGAGCGTGCCTCCTTCTGTGGATCTCTTTGCCACAACATGACTCGGTGTTAGAGCCCTAAATTTTAAGTGTCCAGAAGGGGAAGGCAAGTCTGCCTTCAGCCCCTTGCTGGTTTCTGGGGACTTGCAGTTCCATTGATGCCTGGGGTCTTCCAGATGTGCATATAGTTCTTTCCCTAGATTTTTATTTGGGGAGGAGGTGGCAACACCCAAACCCACACATCTCCAGATCATTTAAATTCAACCAGATGTGGGAATCTCTCTTCTTATTTATTTTTTTGTGCCCTCTTTTTTTTTCTTTTCTTTTTTTCCCCTTTTTTCCCCCACCTGTTTATACTGAAGTGCACTGCTACCTTGCTGAGTTTGGACTTTCTGTGATAGACCTAGTTCATTATAGTAATAATACATAAAATTAAATATAAGCTCTTCTCTAGCAAAGGTATGCAGAAGCAGACAGAGTGTGATGAAAACAAAGCTGGGGGTTATCACGCAGAGGTTAGTACAGTAGTGGTGACCTATATAATAAGTGTTAACTGAGTTATCTGAAGTCAGTAAAAATAGCTTGTGTATCATTTTGATAGTGATTCTTTAGCAAAAAGGGTACTCTATGAATATAGTGCAGGAATTTCCTATGAAAACAGAAGATAAAATTCACTCTGGGGGTAGCTTCATTCCCAGATAAAGTCAGCCCTGGTGTGTGAGGCCAGAGATAGGCTAATCATGTTTGCCTTCTTTTGAGCCCTCTTGAATTTGCCAAAATATTATTAGGAATTACTAGAAAGGAAAAGGGGAGAGGAAGGAGATGCTTTTGAAAAACAGAGTGGAAAATATGAGTGGCAAAGGAAAAATCAAATACATAAAAATTGGAGGAAAAGAAGATGGAGAAGGAAAATCCCAAGAGAGTACTGACTGCATGTGTTTGTGAAAGTTGTTTCTTCAGATTTAGCAGCACCCAGCTTGTACAAGTTGTAATTTAAATAGATTGAAAAGATAATGCTAAAGACTACCAGGTTAGATGTTATCCTGTTAATTAAGCTGCCTTCACAGAGTTTTTACAAGCCCACCAAAAATCATTCCTGATTTACAGTGATTGATACCTCCTGCAGGGAGAAGTAGCCACCCATGTGACCTGTAATACAGAGCAGCACCTTCTCCTTAAGGAGAAAGCTCCCGCCTACCCCCGTACTTTTAGACTGAGTCATCCTGGGGGAGAAAAATCATACTTCAAAGTGCAAAATAATGGGTCAGCTAATTAATTTTTTAAAATTGCCATAGAAGTTTCTCTGAAATTAAATTCCATCCAGTTTCTTCTCATCTCCCATCCCGAATCTTTCACTTCTCTATCTAGAACCATGATTTCTGAGAATGCAGTTTGGATTTAGCTGTTTAGTACTGACATCACTTTGCCTACATGTCCTGTAAGCACCATGGTCCCAGTTGGATGATGTGAATCCATGTAGTTCTGTGCTGTGGTGACAGGTACCATAAAAAGAGATTTCTTAAAAAAGTGGCAGTCTGATTGTTCAATCTCAAGACTCAGTCTCTATTCAGGCCTCATTTATGCTTTTAAAATACATTAACCAGTGCCAGAAATTAGTCTCTGGCCCTAAGACCTATGGGACAATCTGACCATGCCTTGCAAAGCTAAACTCTCATAGCCTCCAGACAGATGGCTGTGTTCACACTGCTGAGTGACAGTGTGGATTATCTCAAGCCACTGGGGATCATTAGAAAGGGTTCAAGCCCATACCCTACCAGAGACCCTTCTTATTGTTAAAAGCATAAAAATATCCTACCCAGTTATTGCTTATGGCTGTGCCCCAGCACTACAGGGATGGGGGCAGATATGGTTCTGGGTTGCAATCAGGGGCTTGGGCCCCTGTTTCAGCTTTGCCAAAGGCTTTTTATGTGACCTTGGTTGGTAACTTAGGGTAAGATTCATTCCATTTAATGTTGACTAATGGTGAGGGTGTCTAATTAAACTAGTCATGTGTGTTCCCTCTCTGATCAGAGAAGGAAGGGAAAGCAAATTCAGAAGGTGAATCACTGCATTTTAAGACTGGTGTCAGACAAATGAGATTAATTGCCCTCTGGAAGTAGCTATTTCTTTCCATTAACTATAGAGGAAGTCTACATTAGAAGAGTTTAGACTAGATGCCTGATTTATGAATGGCTAAAGTTAAGTAAAATTAGTCCTCACCTTAATCTTTATGCATGCATGTTTCTTTATATGTTGAATGATAGAAATAACACCTTCTGTGCCTCACATTCCAAGGTGCCATTGGGCCAGAAGCATTCTGTAAGTACTTTGGAAAAAAATTAAACCCAGGAACAAAAATACAACAGGGAGAAAAGCCTTTACTCTTGAAACATCTCTGTGATGATATGAACTGTGCCACTTGGGACATCCTGTTGCTTCAGCCATTTTTCCCCTTTACATGTTGGCAACTGAGCACCCACAACTGAGTGTTCCCAGTGTGGCAGTGAGACATGAGGCAGTTAGCCTGTTTTGCAAAAGAGAAGTAGGAGCACTGAGGAGGGTTGACCAAGCAAGGGAGTGCAGGACCCCAGTCTTGGTGAGCAGCTCTGAAGGTTTTCCTTGCAATACTGCTTTTCTCAAATGACAGTGACTGTTTATTTTGTAGAGGAATGAAAGCTAATGACTAACTGTGACACAGTTAAGGAGAAGAAAAGTAAGGGGAGAAAAAAAGCTTGCATTTTCATAGCAAAACAAATCCACAACATATAAACCAAGCATGGAATAACTGTGCCAGCTGATAACTAGTACTTACTTATGTGGCATGCTTTTGGAAAAGAAAATTTGCCCCTTTAACTACCTACTGTAGTTAAAGGAGGGAAAAAAAAAAAAAAAAAGACAAAACCAGACCTTGTGTGGGTGCCCTAGTAAGTGCTTATTCTGATTCAGATTGCAACATGTTACAATCGTTTATGGACACAGCTGTGATCAATAAGGCTTTCACCAGCACAGCCATGACCCAACACGATTCCTCCCACCAATGTCACTGTGTTATTGGGGGTAGCTGAGATACCTGTAAGTCCGTTAAGCCTAATAACAGGTCCTTAGAAGCCACTTTGGGTTTTTTGGGGGTGTGTTAAATTACTAAATCTTGTCATTAACGCTTTTATTTTATGATTTGCTATTTCCAGGGCACAGACAGAAGCTTGATGACTCTAAACCTAGTTTGTTCTCTGAACGCCTCAGTGATTTAGGGCGCATTCCTCATCCCAGTATGAGAGTAGGGGTCCCGACCCAGAGCCCACGGCCCTCTCTGAACTCTGCACCAAGTCCTTTTAATCCACAAGGACAGAGTCAGATTACAGGTAAGAGACAGAACCATAGGTTTGACTTGCTCAGGAAACAGTAGTAATTGCTTATGGATATTTGTGTCTCAACTGTAGTAAAAGAGGCTGTTACAGAGTGAGAGATGTGCTCCAAGCAAAGCTAGGTGGAAAGTGGATTTTTTCTGTAGTGTTTGAAGCTGAAAATGTCTTTCATTCTTTATCTTTTTGCCATAAATTAGAGTAATCAAAAGTAGTCAATCTGGATAAATTGAGGAGGAATCTGGTGAAATTCTAACTAACTGCCACATTGCTCTGTCTTCTACTCGGTGTGTGTGGTACTACATATTAGTGTGTAATAGAATGAAGGTTTTTATTCAGCCTTTTTATTTTGCACTCGTGTTGAGGGAAGCAACCAGCATTTAATGGTCCTTCTATTGGAATAATAACACAGTCTTCTTACATGGTGGTTTCCTTCCAGCACCAGTGCTGACCACTGTTACAATAAATGAACTGGGTTATGGAGAAATCTCCAAAGTTTGCTTGTGAGGGTTGCATGCAACATTTATGATTGCATGCTGAGAGAGAGATTTCATTGTGCTGAGAGAAATCATAAAGTACCATGTGTCACAGATTATAAGACTGAAATAAGATGTTTAACTGCGGCTATGCCAGAAGTTTACAACAAAACTGTGAAGCCTACAAAATACACTGATTTTGCTTTTTTTTTTTTTTTCCTAAATTCAGAGCTGGATAAATTTTTCAAAAGAGTTTCAAAGCGATCTCTACCTAATTTTGGCCATTTCTACATATTTGCTGGCATTTGTGTCTATGCCGGATGTGAAGAGGTGTTGCCTCTGACCAATTCACTTGCTAGAACTGTTGGAGAGCTTCACCTAGATGCCATTCCGCCAATAAAACCTTTGGCTCAATTTACTAGGCTCATTTAAAACTCAGTTTTGCTGCTGTAGTTGCGTCTGCACCTGGAGTCCTTTGCCAATACCAGTATTCCTTTACTGGTAAAGCACTCCTGGTATAGACATAGTCTTTGAGTCAACCAGGGAAGATTTCTGGTTTCATGTTTCAAGTGGTTTTGACATGATACCAGCTGAAACTTAGCGGTTTTAACAAAGTGTTGTGGCTTTCTTCTTCTTTCTTTTTCTTTTTCTTTTTTTTTAAGTTCAACTGGTTTATTAATTTGCAGTAAGAAAGAGAAGTAGGTGGGTTAATTTGAACCCAAAGCACTCGGAGAACTGAAAAGAAAAAATTGTTCCCATGAGCTGTGGCAAAGTTCTCCCAGATCTAGAAGTCTACCTTTAGCCAGTGTAAAATATTTGTAACACATTAAATATGTCTATAGTACCCGTTGCATGCTACTTGCTGCCCACCAGCTTCCTGGAGCAGGTTTTTTGCCTGGGCTTAGTGTTCTGTTCATTGGACATAAGAAGTCAGGGCTCTTGTGCATATCATTTTCTGGGTAAGAACTGTCAGACTAAAGCCCAGTATTTTTTCTAACCTATTGTCTTCTGTCTGGTGGTGTTTGTTGACACAATTCCTGAGAAAGCAGGGGGGAAATCCAGTGATATAATCAGCTTTTTTTTCCCCTTCTGCCTTGTGCCTCCATAGTTTACCTATTGTGCAACACAATATCTAGGAATGAAGGAGGGTGAAATTCTTTCTGACCCCATCTGGTGATCAGTTTATGCCCTGAAGCACGAGAACTGAGATCCCCTTGTAATTTTCTTCCTTGCTAAGTGTAACCTCATATGCTGCTCTCATTCACATAAATGCCTCCTGTAGAAAATGTTCTGCTGGGTTTGATTAATAGGGTATTTCTCTGCCTCATTATGAATCAGCAGCAGCATTTACAGATCCAGGAGGTGAAAACTTCAGATGAGTTTTAAATAAGCCTGAATGAAAACAAAGCTGTGTGGCATTTGCTGTCTTTTCTTCAAACTTAAGAGTTCAAAGTGCCAGCTGAGACTTCATCAAGACATGGAAGATGCGTTGCTGGTTGAGCAGAGGAAAGGAAGCTTAACCGAGGAAGGCAGGCTGACTTTTCTGTCTATTGTGAATTATGTGCTTCTCTTGCTGCATAAACTCATGGTCATGGGGTACTTTAGAGTCCCAAATGACTTTCATTTCTCAAAAGCTGTGAGGACTCGTTTTCTTAGTAAGGCTTGCAGTGCAGAAGTGGTCTAAAACAGTATTTGCCGTGTTATTCCCCACTCTTGTCTCCTCCTCAATTTAGAACAGGCAAACACCCAGCCCTCAAAGGCTACTCTTAGTTTTCTGGTAGCCCTCCCATTTAATAAGGTGATTAGTGTGGCATGTTACATCAGTGTGAGCTCTGTGAATTGTGCTGGCTTCCCCACAAGGCTTTTTGGTGCTCTTCAGGACGTTGATTGTAATCTGTAAAGCTCAACATGCTTTGATGTTCCACCAAAGTGCTGGGATGCGTTTTGTGGACAGTCCCTCCGAGTTCTTCTGGAATGAATGGATGCTCATTGCCACACAAACCATGCCAACAAGAGACAAAGTTGATGCCACAGACGAGAAACCTCTTTGATCAAGTGTTAAGTGGCCATGAAGAATTGCTAAACATCCGCCCGGTGTGATGGTAGGGAGTAAGTTGTTTGGGCTGTCCACCTCCACCAGTTTCCTTGTTGTGGTGCAGTATTCAGTGAGAATACCGCTGCCTTCTTAACATGGTCACTGTGCTGGTGTGGCTGGGGTATGTACTAAAAGGAGAATAGACCCTTGTCTGAAAAACAGGATTTTTTTTATTACCTTTATAGGAATTAAGCAAGCATTCCTCTAGAAATACCTTTGTTTCTTAATCTTTTTACCTAGTAGTTTAGGGAAAATAATTAATTCCTAATAACTTTAACAGTAAATACTGGTTTCCTACGACATATAATTGCTAGTAAGCACATAAACTGTTTTTGTTTCATTCCACTTGAGGTCTTGCATAGCTATCGCATGATTAAACAGAAATAATATTGAAAGGCTGTCTGGCCCACACCTGAGTCTGAAAGAACTCAGCACTTCAGGGGTCACTCTTATATTTCTTTTCTGTGTCTAGGTTGAGTTTATTTTCCTAGAGTATCAGAGTACAGGTTGCACAAATCACATCAAGTCACAGGACCGGCTGTGGCAGTGTAAGGCACAGTTGCCCTCATTCAACATGGCATTTTAACTAGGATTCTGCAAAAGCAGCATTGAAGGATGATTAAAAAACAAATCATCCAATAAGCAGATGCCTTTGCTGAAGCAATGCAGGTTCAATTTGAACCCTGCTTGCTGCCCATAAATCAGAAATCCTGTCTGTTTGCATCTGGGTACTGGTATATTTTCCTGTTTTATTTTTCTCCCCTTTCCCTAACAACGCTCGCACAACTTGCTCGTGTATCCGATTACATTCCCATTCAGACAGTGAGCTGTTGCATCAGTGTTGCAGTATAAAGCAAGGAAAACTTTTTTGTAAAATGCAAACAGTGAGGGTTAGCTGCTATCAGCCAGGAAAAGCCACGGCACGAGGACCCCGGCAGCTGTGCTGCGGGGACTATAAAGTGGGAGTTAAGTGAGGTTTCATGCTCCATCACCACTGTGGCACCATCTGATCTATAGGCAACCTGTGACTTTCATCACTGAAATAACAACACTCAGAAGCAGGTCACGTTAAATGTTGGGCTTTTGCTTTTTCCTCCTTCTCTCCCCATCACTTCAGGGATGTTATGCTCATCATTTTTAGGGTTATAGGAAGCAGACTGAAAGGCTTCAGAGCTGGATTACCTGGAAGTTAGTGAGGGGACTCATCTGTCCTCCAAGGCCATGAACTGCAGGACAGGTTTGAAACAGAACTGTGTAGCTGTGATTAGACCAGCACTATGCAAGTGTCCTGCCAGGGTTTGACTGTGTTTTACCTGGGACTAGCAGCACTCTGAAGCACACATGGGTTTGTAGCTGGTGTACATCCATTTGAGAGACGTCAGAAAAAGTACACGGTTGCTTGGAACAGATAATTCAGAATTAGCACAAGTAATGAGCTTATAGGGTACAGTTCACAGTAACGTGGAATAAAAGCTGTGAGGCTCATCAGATGAAGTGGTGAATTTGGGATTTCTGCTGCCATGAACACAGGGGTGGCTGCAGTCTGCAGTATTTTATGTAAATTAATTGCATCCTTCAGGCGACTGGTGAGTTGCCATTGTGAGCCTCCATTTGGTAAAGCATGTGTCTCTCCTATTAAAATACTCTTTTAACTTTAGTTTTTCCTTGTCCTTTACAATTTAGTTGCCCTACTAGCATGACTTGTTCAGTAGTTTGTTTTTTGTCTGTCTTCTAGAAATGTGACCCTTGGGGAGGTGGGAGTAGAAATGGTTGTAGAGGTTCTTCAGCCCAAAATCTGGTCTCAGTTATGCTTCTGTACATTGGCTTCATGTAGCTCCATTGGATTTGTCTTTGTGGATTGAACTGGACAATTCAGATCAAGCCCTAGGCTTAATCTGAATCTGGTCTCAATTATGCTTCTGTACATTGGGGTATATCTTCATTGGATTTGTCTTCATGGACTGAACTGGGCAATTCAAATCAAGCCCTGGGCTTTTAAAGATACGTAATAAATAGTCCAAGTAGAAAGCTGCATTTTGTTGTTGTTTTGCTGGGGGTTGGGGGATGTTACAGCAGTAGTTGGATGCGCGTGCAGAAAGACATTGTGGCTTTGTTAACATCAGAAGTGAGGATACTTGCTTCAAGTGTTTACCGAAGATGACTCCAGACAGCTTGTTTTTCAGTACTGCAGTAACGCTAATACAAGCAGCAGCAGCAACAGCCAGTTCTAGAGCTGATGGCTGGATTTAAATGAGAGTGGTTTTGCAGAGTGCGTGCATGCATGTGACGTTGGGGTGTTACAGCCGAGGAACTCTGGGCCTGTGATCGTGCTCTGATCTTCCCACAGCTTGGGAAATGGGAAATTGATTTATGTTCTTACAGTAAATCTGTTTGCTTCATAATCCAGTGCTAAAGTAGTGGAAAAACTCATTCTTCAGGGCTGTTTATGGTTTTTTTCTTCTCTTCATTGACAGTCAGAACATTTGCATTGAAGGAAGTCACATTGCTGTAGAGCCAATGTCATTGGTGGTAGAACTGGTCACTGGGTCTTTTTTCATTCTTTATCTTTTTTTTTGTTTTTTAGTTTCATACAGTGCATCCCATCTTAGACTGATTTTTAAAACCACTTGTCTGTTGTGCATTGATGCAGTCAGTCCCAGACTAAAAGGGTCAAACCATGTCTATCTCCCACCTTGCAATAAGTATTTCCTGCTTCACCAAGGTTTACCTGGAAGCTGAAACAGGACTGAGCTGTGCGTGAATTAGTTTAGACCTCACCCCACTGGCTTGTTTCAGCCGAGCTGTGCACAGGCTCTCTCAGCATACACATGATATGCCCTGTTGTGAACAAATATGCTGAAAGCCGCACTTTTCTTCACACCCACACAGGCATAACAGAAATGTTTACAAAAGGAGGACTGCTCTTAGGAATCTCTCCAAAAGTTTCAAGTGCAAATGCCAACTCAAAGTGGCTCTCTGCCTCCTTTAGCTGCTGTTAAATGCACTGCTAGCCCTTCCCCATGGCTGCTGTATGGGAAGATGGCGGGCTTTCTCCCTGGTTGTTTGCTGTATATTTATATTATCATTTTCCTTTGTTTTGGAGGGATTCCTTTAGGGAGGAATCCACATTTGCTTTGCTTCAGAGCTTTAAGGTTTCTCATCTGCCCTGGGTTTTTTGCAATTAGGAAGATGTGCTGTGCCTGCAGAGCATGTGGTGGTGTGGATGATGGTACAAAGCTCCTGCCCTACAGGGACTCGGTGGACATGCATAGTCCCAGCAGCTAGAGCAAATGGAGAAGCTGGTCTCTGGTGTAGGAGGCCAAGGAAAACCTCTTACAGGTCTTCTCATGGGCTCTTCCCCACTGGTACACGCTAAACAGTCACTGCACCCCTTCCATGCCTTGGAGGTGACCTTCCTAAAGACACTATGGTGTTTCCTTCAGAAGTGTCTGTATGCATCTGTCCTGGAAGTGCTGTTCTGGCATCTGGAACTTCCCTGTGGTACCCCCAGCACCTTCCTCTTCCCCAGGAGGTTTGGTTTGGTGGCATGCAGGACTCGAAGAGATGGGCTTGGTTGGGCCTCAGCAGCCAAAGTCTGCTCCAGCAGCATTGCAAGGTACATCTGTTGGTGGGACCAAAGGGTGCCACGTGGGACCCAGCTGCATGTCCGCCTTCAGGGACTAGACAGAGCAGCTTTAAACTCTGCCTCAAGACATTTTATTCTGGGGATTGAGCATTGCTGCTGAGTGGGGACATTTGCCCTGTGGGCTAGCGATCACCTTTGGCTTGGCAAGACGAGCGTGTTTCGCTGTTCTCTTCCCTCATGTCCATGCAAACCTTGGCCGCTATCAGTCAGCAGAGGCTGGCTTTAGGGCATTTATTCCAGGGTCTGGTGAAACTTGTATCTTCACTTTCTGGTTTCCTAACGGGCCAGAGATGACTCCTGAAGCCAGTCATCCCCAGGCCAAAATTCCCCACCCTGCCTCAACCATGACCTCAGCCATGCCTTGGTGTGGTGGAATCTCAGTAACCCTCCAGCCTGAGGTACTGTGATCTTCTCCTCAGTCACTGAGTTCTCATGCATCATCTGGTGTTTGATTTGGGTGAGGATTTTCCTCTGTATTATTTCCTATTCTGTGATTCCTATTCCATGATTTAATTTCCCTGGAGCTAAGTTGCTTACACTCTGGTTTCAGAGGGGTTGAAGTCTGCAGCTGAGTATCTGGGTTGGAAGCTTCCAGCCAAGATAAGTGCTCCATTTAGTGAGTGAGGTACTCAGAGAGTCCCTGCACCTTAAAAAAAAAAATAATCACCAATTAAATAAGCAGTATATAATTATTGTCCTTAAATTTAGGTAGAAATTGTGTGACATGGAGGTAGGGTAAGTTACACAAGTCCAATAGATCTGCTTCAGAGCCAGAAACAGTCACATCACAGCACAGTGCTTTCGCTAGCAGTCCATCCTCTTTTCTCCTTTTTCTTTTTTCTCTAAAACACTTTGCAGTTTAAAATCTCACCTATTGGTCTCATGGAGAGCTGAAATCATACATATATATCTGAAAAAGAAATGTGCTGTTGGGGCTCTGAGGTTGGAATGAGCTATAGAAGCCGTGTATAAATTTAAGGTAGGTGCTGTAAGAATGCATGATATGTTTTGGGGTCAGCTGATTGTCCATCCAGCCCCATATTCTGCCTCTGACACCGCTCTTAGATACTCTTTTGAAAGACCACAAAAGCTTTTGAAAGACCACTTTTTGCCATTCATCCTTCTTGTGTCCACACAGGCATTCACAGTTGTTGGATTAAGGATGTTAACGTGTACAAACAAGTCTTGTGTGGCTGTTCAAAGTGGTGAGGGTGCCATAGACGCTCAAGCTCTTGCCATGAGGATTGTGCTACTAGAAGTGGCATGAACCTCCAGAAGGCAGTTTTCACCACCTTAGACCAAACTCCTGTAAAAACATCCTCTGCTGAGGTTATTTTTCCCTCAGCCTTTACCTGCTACATAATTTCCTTCCAGCACTGGAGCTGACCTAAAACCAAAACTTTAAGGGACTCTGTTTTAGATTCAGAAGCAGAGATTGAAAAGCTCTTGCAGTTTGAAGGAGCTTGGATTTGAGATTGTGCTCCTGACACATCATTAATTTTAAGATTGTTTTCCCAGCAAGCCGAGGCTTTCCGTTCCCAGTTGAAGATCATTTACCATTGACTGCACGGTGAATTATAGTAGTGGAATGAGGCAGGGAAATATGTCGATATCAGATATAACAACGAGCAGTCAGTCAGATTTGAACCTGCGCCAATCTATACAACCCTAGCCTTGAAATTGTTAAAACAAAGAAGTTCATTACATTTAATGATCAAGTGTCCTTCAGATTTCTGAGGAGTTTATGTTAACCATTTATATTACTCAGCTTCAATATAAATGGCAAACTCCAGGAAAATCCTCTTAAAATTAAATTGGAAAGTTGAAGGTTTTTATATATCTATATAGTTATTTTGCTTCAAGGAAGTATCTGCTTTCCAGACATCTCTTCAAACAAATCATGTCTGAACAGAAAAAATAAACAAGGAATAGCTGAAACTACAAGGTTTTGCTGTGTGGAAAAGCAGTGAAAGGAGTTAAAAAAAAAGAAAAAATTAAGTTGAATTTCCTGAAAAACTGCCTTTGCTTATGCCATGTGGCTATCACATTGCTGTCTGCAAAGCAGGGCCTTAGCACAGTGCTTTGCTATAACAGGTTTTCCAAATTGAGTGGACTTGATGTACTTCACTGAAAATATTGGGGAGGATTTGAAGGGATGTGCTACAATTTCTGAGCCACTTCAGAGATAGTTTTCTGTTTTATCATGCAGTGCCCAAAACAAACTTTGGAGTTGAAAGTGCTTTGATTTTATCGATGTAAAGAAATAAAAATAGTTATTTATGAGGCATTCAGTGATGTCTTTATCAGCAGATATTAACTGGGAAAATGGTTTGTAAGTCCAAACACCAATGTGTAAAACTAGGTCTCCCTCTCTCACTTAATGCAATCCATCAGTGCTTCAGTAAAAAATAATCTGCATTTATCCTTAAAATAATTTCCTTATAGTGAGCTGTAGCGAATACATCAGAAGACATCATTAACTTCCGATAGTTATCCCAAACCATTTGGTTTTATGTTGTTGTAATTGAGGTGACTGTAGGTAATTGGGCCAACATCCAAATGTGACATTTTTGGATGGATGCTGATAAGATTAATGACATTTTCCTTCTTGGGTAGTATTTTCAGCACTGAAAACAGTACTGTGTAATGTTTGAACTGGATGACAACTTGGCATGCTTGCCAAGTGCTGACTGTAGAGTCTCCCAACCTCTGAAATCCACTTCCTAAGCTCTCAGACCTGAGTCTCGTACTTGCTGTCTGCTTACTGGTCCAGATCCTTAAGGACTGGTGTCACACACTGGTAAACCTAGCTGAGAGGCACAGAGAATTTGCAGCACAGCTCCTATATCTTTTAAAACTCTGATCACTGCTCCATTCATTTCCCCTAAAAAATAGTTATGGGCAGGGAAAAGCACAGAGCAAGGCTGGAAGGGTTGAGCCCTAGAGGAGCAGGTTGTGTTTCATTGCATTCTCATTCCTTACAGCACCATGTAGCACTGTGTGTATGTTCAGTCATCCCCACCTGTCAGTTAGACTGTTGATGCCCTAAATTTTTTTCTTATTAAAAAAAAAATTCTCCTTTCTTTTTTATTTTTTTTTAATTTTTTTTTTATTTATTTCCTAGACCCCAGGCAGGCGCAGTCATCCCCGCCATGGTCCTATGACCAGTCTTATCCATCCTACTTGAGCCAGATGACTTCACCATCCATTCATTCCACAACTCCCCTGTCCTCCACTCGAGGCACAGGACTTCCAGCCATTACCGATGTGCCCAGACGCCTCTCAGGTAAAGACTGTGTTTTGCCTAGAACAATTATGCAGATAGGAACAGGACTGGCAGAGGTTGCCTTCATGGCCTCAGACAAACCTTTATAAGAAGAGCACAGCTCAGTCGGTGTTAACAGTGTTACTGCATGGTGGGTGGGGGTCAGAATCCCTTTTTTTTCTGTGTTGCTCTGAACATGTATCATTTGAATGTCTTTAGGTCCATTCCAGATCAAACTATTTTTAAGTTGTGAACCTGATTCTATGAACGCATTTTCTTTTTTTTTCCCCTATAAGAGGATGTTTACTTGATTGTTTTAAAGTAGTTGTGATATTCTCTATTTTTTGGTGCTCTATGTTTGTAGTGTGTGTGCTGTTATGCATCCTGACAGAGAGGTGCCTTTATTTCAGTAGTTAAGGCGAAGGTGCTTTCTCCTGCATTTCAGTCCAGTAGCACAAGAAAGCCTATTTCCGTAGTCGATGTGTACTTAAGATACCTCTCAGAAGATAGCTGAGTCACTTAAGGGTAGAGATTGGACAAACTGTGCTTCGGAATGATGCAAGAGAGGGCAAATACATTTAGGAACATAGACAAGACAGCAGTGAGAACTGAGACTTTTTTTTTACCAAACCAATGTACATTTACATACTGTGCAATTCATCTCTAATGGTCTCAGTAATAAAACCATCTGTGTGAAGTAATCTGATTGCCCCAAAGTAAGATAGAGTCTGTCATGGCACACAGTCACCTTGTATATCATGCCAAAAATGAGGAACCTTAGGGGAGGGAGGCTCAGTATTAAAGCTCCAACCTTGCAAGTGTGGAAATATTAGCAGTGTATGCCAAAAAAGCATGTGTAATGTAAAGAAAGTCTTTATGATTCATTAATGAAAACCAAAGAATCAGTCTTATTACATCTATTTTTGCATGTTTGCAAGATACTATTATAATCTTGGATGCTGCTGCCATACACCTGTTTGACTCGCAGCCAGGTGAATTTCTTACTGTCGTGTTTTCCCGTTCCACCAAGCTTATAGCACTGGAAATGTTGATCCCTCCACTGAGCTGCATCACTGACAAGCTGAATTTCAGCCAGGAGGCCTGTAGGATTTGATTAGCGTAGACTCCTTGATTGCTTTCATCTTGGAAGGGGGAAGCTTTGTTTCTCAAACAAGCAGCTGGAAAATCCTCTGCAGTCCTAGTGCACCCTGCCTTCTCAGAGGTGCCAAGCTGAGGTTTGGCATCTCCATGTGGGCTGGGGGTTTGAGGTTGGTGGAGCAGGTTCCTGCTGGCTCTCTGTGCAATACGCTGACTTGGTTCAAAAAACTCGATTGGCTTGATGCTGAGGAAATGCTTTGTTTGGACTGAAACAGGTTCCCTTTGAGTCAGAGCCTCCTGATGGTCTGTGTTGTCAAATGGTTATTTTTTGCAGTTGTGCCCCCAGCAATACCTGCAGGAGAGGCTCGACTGGGACCTCAGCAGATGTACCACAGCATGCTTGCCCTGCAGCCCTTGCTTGTCTGTGTATTCAGACGTGAGTGCCTGGCATGTGGGCACAGGCAGAATGACTAAAAGACCTGGCTGTGTACATTATGTGGCCGAGGACTGAACTTTTCTGCTGTACTGGAAAGTTGGTTGCCTTTACGCTTCTTGCCCTCTATCTTCTGGGGGCTTGACTGAAGCCTCTGCAGTGCTCTTACCTTTTCCCAGCGTGGGGATCTTGCTTCCAGTTAGATTTAAGATTGAGCAAGGGGACTTTGAGCTTCCACAAGTGCCAGAGTTTGTCTGCAGTGTTTGCTGATGTTCAGAAATGCAGAGCAGCATTTTTGGAAGGAGGGTGAGTGCTGATGCTCAGGCTTCAGGAAGCACGTTGCAGCCCCAGCTGCAAGCGCTGCAGTTTGTCTCAGGGGTTTCTACCTAGCAATCTCACAGGGAGGGAGAGCAGGAGCTAACCTCCTTTGTGTTAAAGTAGAGAGAGAAATTCAAGTTTAAATCTGCCCCTTACAGCAACCAGTTTATCCCTCGCACAGGGAGAAATGCAAATTCCACTCAGTTACTTGATACATCTTTCAGGGGATAACAAACCTTTGATGAGGGGCGGAAATTACTGCTAAGAAACACTAAAATGTTAGAAAACTTTGGGCACCTTCACTGCATGAGGGAAAAATTAAGTTTTACAAGGCCTTGAATAAAAGCAAGCTATGCTTTCCAGTACAGTGGCAGAAATCTGGTTATCAAGGCTGTTAAAAGTATACAAGGTAATTTTAATGAATGCCATATTTACTGCTTGTTGCTTAACATCATGCAGGAGGAAAAATGGGTAAAACTACCCCTTAGGCCTTGGATGTCACACCTAGAGGCACAGGACTTCCTACCTGCCACAATTCCACATTACCCAGATTTCCACAGGCCTCAGTGGCTCTGCTTAGAGAACTGCTTAAGTTGTATTCACCCAGATATTGAAATGTACCATCTAATAAAGCCTTCTGTCCTTCAAAAGTGGTTTCTGGTAGTACTGTTAGTGGCAGCCCTTGAGAGATGTTTTTGATGGTACTCCCATGACCAGAAACACATCCATCTCATGTTTTTCCTCCCTGTCCTGGAGGAAAGGTTGCCTGTGTTTCAACCCCAGATAAGGCTGAGTATCAGAAGAGGTTTAGGGCTGTAGGACAGAAGGTGGCGGGGGACTGACATAGCAGTTCCCTGTCCCATGGGAGAGGGGAAAAGGGCAGCAGGCTGCAACCCTGAGGAGTTACTTGAGCAGGCTAGTGTAATGTGGCTGAACTGGTCGTGTCAGTGTCTAGACTGATTTCTTTGCACAACTGAAATGTTTGCATGCATGCTGCAGGCACGTGCAAATGAGTGCCACGGCTGTCAAACTTCCAAATACTCATCTTTTATTCTCCAGATAGGGATCAGCGCAATGCCATGTAGGTAATTAATGAGGTGTCACACATATTTGGTCAGTATTCAGCAGCAATAGCTGAAAAGCAAAGCAAAAAAAAAAAAAAGATTATCTGGCATCACTCATGGAACTTTTGAACCAGTGATCCCTCTGGTGCATAAGTCTCCTGTTCATATCAAGAATAAATAAAAACTAAGCTCACAAGGCCATGCAGTTGAGTTGCATTATTGCACCAACTCAAGTCATCAAAAGAGCAGGATTCCCCGTATTTTATTAATATCTGTCTGCTCAGACTTCCCCAGAAGACAGTGAAAGTTGGTGGCCTAGCAGATTAATATTCTTAATTAAATAATACTGTAATGGAAACCATGGGAACATAAGAACATGGTCATTTTAAAGAGAGTTTGCCTGAGGGACAGAGTGTTATTGCATGATTCATAGTGAATGCACTCAGTCTTTGTGTCCTATGCATAACCAAAGTGCATGTGGGATGGGGAGCATGAGTGTCTATTATGTAATTAATGTATATGATTCATATAAATGCACATCATATTTTTACATAAAACTTTGGCACATGCAAGGTGTTCAGAGAAGGGAGTACAGGATGGGTTGTTCCTGCAGTCACAAGAGGGGTGTTCTGCAGCAGGTAAATGAGGTATATATGTCCCCAGGGTAGACATCTATACCAGACTGTCACCCTCAGGTCCCTTTTGAGTCAATGGGGACAAACTGGCATTTGTAGGACGTGACCAGTCTGCAGATGAGTTGGACTGGTCCCTGGCAGTGCCTTGAAAGAGCCTGTTTGCCTCCACAGGCTCTAAAGCAAGCCTACATGAGTAGTTCAGGTACAGGCACGTCTCATCTGATAGTCTGCCTTTGGTGAAGTGATTTAGCTGTCCCATAAACATATCCATATCATTGCCTTTCTACACGTCAGTCCTGATTTAACCCTGCTGTGGTCTGCCTCGCCCTGACCTCTGCCTGCTCTGTGATTGCAGGGTTTGAGCTTGCATTTGATTTTGTTGAGAATTCTGAGAAGGGAGGTGGGAGGACAACTTCATCCCCTAAACTTCCTGGACCTCCTCACTGTTCTGCCTTAATGTTAGTCACTTGCTTTTGTTTCACCTTTGAGAGACTTTTGTGAGGTCAAGGTCTTAAGGTGCTGGAGGACCTGCCCTGCAGGTGTAACATGTACATGTTCAGTGCTGGCTGTGGAGGAGGCTGTCCTACACAACTGTTTGACAAATGCCCATATGACAGAGGAGAAAAATAAAACTGAATGGGAAGAGCAGGACAAATCACCAAACCTACTTTTCAAGCCTGCACACTTGCACACTTTGCAGATAGTTGTTGGTTGTGGATGCTGGCATAATGCCACCAAGCCCAAAAGTCCCCTCAGTGTGCAGGGTAGATTTTGCTGTCTTCATACTTACTGTGTCACTGAATAGGGACACGCTGGGCTCAGCCTCTAAATGAGAGAAGTTTGCAGACCCATCCCTCTGAACTAAAGTGGCCAGCAAGTAGTATCTTCAGCAATAAATTACACAGTGGAAGGGCCTGGGCTGTTAAATACAGGTACTGTTAAATTGTCAGTGAGGTTGGTTTTGAGTGGGGCTGGCCAGCATGGTCACAAACAGATCCCAGCTGTGGTTTGGGAGTGAGCAAAGCCCCAAACCTGTTCCCGTGAACAGCTCGGAGGCAGCCAACCTATTGTGGAGGCTTACAGGGTTTAATACTATAGCTGTGGCCAGACCATCCTGGTTGGGTGTAGAGCCAGAGAATGGGCCCTGACCCTGGGCCATTGTCTAGTTTGAGTGTAGCCAAACTTTCCCATTAATTCATCTCACTCTGTATATACCACATCTTTTTGGACCATCCTGGACCTTCATCAGGTACTGAATTTAAGAAACATTCTTGCTCTCCCAGTTCTCTGAGGGCTGGCAAGTGTAAATGCAACCCTGTGAATACCAGCCATGCCCTGATCAATGACAGTACTGTTCCTTTACGCAATTCAGTTTACATTCTTGTAAGCCTACAAATCTTAAAATAAAAACCCACATACACTGGAAGCAGCTCCAGCTGAACCTCTGGATTTAGTGCTTATATGTTAATGAGT